TCTCACCCACAATCGGTTTTGTATTCTATATTTAACGCAATATTTATATTGCGGTCGAATTGTAATATTTTATAATATGATAATGAATCGAAATATAAGTTTCCATAAAACCAGTTATCTTCCCCACATCCTCAAATATTCATATCATCTTTGTCGGTATGCTTTTTACTGATAGTCATTCCGTTGACAACTCACAACAGCTCTCAAACAATGCTAATAAATTTCCATCTTTAGTGATTTTCAACTTGTCCAGAAAAATAATGATGCAATCTATTTAGTGGTATCGAAGTAGTTTAGTAGTAATGAATTAGAATATGAAATATGTAAGTTTCTTCACTTTATTTTTGAGAGTATTCTGAATGAAGTTCTCATCCATAAATATGAAAATAACGATGAGCAGATAAGAAACTAGTGATATCATTCACATCTTTTTTCGCATTTATGTGATTTCGTAAATATTTTTTTTTCATATTTTTCTATACTAGGAATTAATAAAACACACAACCACCATCTACCATCTTTATTTATGTCTAATTTCAAAGTACGAAATGTGAAAAGGGCGCTCTTTACTAAATAAGTAAATCAAGAATTATATAAATGCTAGACATTTTTAACTAATATTTTCTTGGCACAAACCATTCCTTCACTCCACTAATAGGAGAATGTTTCATGATGAATCCCTAAAAGATCAAATACAAATCAAAAATTAAAAAGGATAGCTAAAAGTAACAAAAAAAACACTGGAATGGAATTACAGTGAAATAAAATACAAGTAAAAAAATAGAACAATCAAACAAAAAATAAAAACATTGAAAATTAAGAGATTCCAAACCAAGTTACTTCGCGACGTTTCGATTGTTAGTATCCACAATCGTCTTCGGGTGATGGCTAGTGCTGTCACTTTGAATTAATTCGTTCACTTAGTATGTTAAATTAATTCATCATGGTTTGTTCATAAAAAAAAACGATTCTGACATAAACAATAATTTTCAAAATGTTATAAAATAAAGATATTGATTTAAAACGTTTGATTCCTGGTTTATTTCGACTTTGAATCGGAGGAATTCATAGTAGTATAGACTAGTCTGAACATTGGTCCTTTGAGCCGGATATCCTCACTTAGTATGTTAAAATAATTGATCATGAGTTTGTTCACAAAAAATATGATTCTGACATTGACGATAATTTTGAAAAGTTATAAAATAAAGATATTGATTTAAAACGTTTGATTCCTGGTTTATTTCGACTTTGAATCAGAGGAATTCATAGTAGTATAGACTAGTCTGAACATTGGTCCTTTGAGCCGGATATCCTTACGCCAAATAATTTTTTAATGCACTGTTCAAATAGAGCTTCACCACCATTGGGAACATTTGAGAAAGCTGAAATTAACCTGAGAATACAGTGGAGACTATCTCAAGCCTTAGCGAATATATTTTGGAGAAGATGGCGAAAAGAATATTTACTTACACTGAAAAAAAATGAAGTGGTATGAGAAGGGGGACGACATGTCAAAGGACGATATGGTACTAGTCATTGACGACACATTACAAAGGGATTTGTAGCCACTTGGGGAAATTGTAAATGTTTCTAGGAGAAACGATGATGAACTTAGAGTTGTGGACGTCAAAACAAAATCAGGAACGGCCAGTTACAAAGATCTGTAAATTGATCAGTGGTGTACCACTGGAAATGGATTGAAGAATATGTCAAATGCACTGAGTTCATCACGAAGGGGAGAATGTTGTTGCTTTAAATTAATTTGTTCACTTAGTATGTAAAAATAATTGATCATGGTTTGTTTATAGAAAAAGACGATTCTGACATTGACAATGATTTTGAAAAAGTTATAAATTAAATATTTTGACTTGAAACATTTGATTCCTGCTTTATTTCGACTTTAAATCAAAGTAATTCACAATAGGACTGACAAGTCCGAACAACTAGAGTAATTCCTCCGAGAGATGACTATTTATGGGTTCACCGGTTCAGCGGGAGATGATCGTTTGGCGGTAGTTGTCCATTTTTCCCTTGATTATGGGTTTCTATACGTTGTATATTTCTAGGTTAACTTGGCTGAATACATTGTTAGAAAATATGTATGCGGCATCTTTGAATTTCCCTCTGAACCAGTGTTCCCTGTGTACGATCTCAGTTTGGGAGCACTCGATGTTATGTTGATGGGTCCAAACATACTCTGCTATTCCTGATTTGCTGGTTTCCTCTGGCTGTGTGTGTTTCTTATGCTCGTCAATGCGAACGTTCAATGGCCTCTTTGTTTCACCCATATAGAATTTTCCGCACCCACAGGGTATCCAGTAAATGCAATTCTTGGAATCGCAGTCCGCGTCAGGTGGCCTGGTTTTCGTGAGGTTGCTACGGATAGTGTTTCCGAATCTCAAGCAGGTTCCGATGTTGTACTTGGACCCAATTCTTCTTATCTTTTCCGATAATTCTGTGATGTAGGAAAATGCAAGCAGTGGTAGTGACAGCTTCTCTGCCTTGCGAGGCTTCTTCTGTCTTTTAGCTGAAGTTTGTCCACCATCGCCATTTCGTTGAAGATCATTTTTGATGATGTCTAATTCCTTCTCGAGACCTTCCTTCGTATTGCAGAGCCCAAAAGCACAGTCTAATATTGAGGAACATAGCTGATGAGTTAAATAGGAAACGTAGATTTAGGAAGAATCTTCGTAAATTTTTGACATTTCGATATGACATCAATTCAAGTAAACGTAAAAGTAGCCCTCAAAACTTTTTGCTCACTTTCACGGATATCAGATATTCGTAACAATAATTTCAATAGAAAAAAAGCATGAACAAACCTGAAGACCACAACTAAAAAACCCTTGAAGTCAACTTTGACACATAATAGATTTTTCTATTTAAAATGGATGAATTCCAAATTCACTTCAATCTAACCTAACTCAACCTAACCTAATCAATCTGAGAGTAACATGAGCTGTATCTGATATTGAAGAAAACATTGGAAATCTTTACGAAAATTAGAATAATGCAACCCAAGATATCATTTTTCCTCTGAAACGGACAATTATTTGGCATGTGGCGGAGGGGTAGAGTCACCAGTATACAATATAAAAACCTTCTCGAAGTTTCTTGATGTTTTTTTTGAAAGGTAAATAAATTTTGATCAACAGATCAAGCGTAATGAAGGGTTAACTGAAAAGTTCACCCAGAAATGGTACTGCATAACATTAAAGAAAAGTTTAATTAGGTAGTAACTTGCAGAATGTATGAATTTTGCCTACAATTAAAGTAAATATTGAAAAAATGAAATGTTGAAATTTTTAAATACGGCAAGATACTAACTAAGTGGGCTTTTTTAAAGTTGTATACGCAGTTCAGTTTGCCTTTTATTACACTTGCGAGCAGATTCATCATGAATCTACAATATCTAATAATTCTTCTATTGTAGAAGGCAAGGAACTCAAAAAATATCAAGGAACATTGACTGCTTTAGAAAAATAATGTCCTTCTAAGAATTATTACATAACTTCTTTCTAACACTATGGATATAATCTATTTGAATTTTGAATACAATGACTCGTTACTTGGTGGAAATCAATTGAACTATTCATGATAATGATTACAAATTTTTATAATATATACTTCATTTCCAATAGATACGCGATTCTTTACATCTTCAGTTGGATGTAGTGAAACTCGTATCTATGCTCATACATGCGAATGTCACTTAACACTCATTCATCTCTGTTTCTGCGTACTGGTAAAACTTAGAAAGCTCAAATTTGGTATATAACTGCCTCTTAGGTCAAAGATCCGTACAAAGTAAGAATTCTCAAATATTCCAAGTAGGGCTCCCCCACTGGGGATTAAAGGGGCGTTTACATTTGAAAATTACCTTTTCATCACTATTTCTCCGTATCGATATAAGTTCGGAGGCTGAAGTTTTGTATGTAGGTTAGTTATATGTTGTAGATGTGCGATAAAAAAGAATTTTCAAATATTCCAACTGGGGAACCAGCCGCGGGAAAAGGGGGGGTTCGTGAAATAAAGTTATCTTTTCATCAATATTTCTCCAAGCCGGTATATTTTCGGTTCCTTTTATATTGTAGATGTGCTGCGAGAAAGGATTTCTCGATATACCAACTGAGGCGCCAGCCGCGTGGAAAAAAGGCACGTCCATAAAACAAAATAGTTTTTTAATCACCGTTCCTCCATGCCTTCATTTTTCCGGTGGGTGAATTTATATTTAGCATCATCATTGCACCCGTGCGGAGCCGTGTCAGGTCGGTAGTTGGAGATAAAAGTCTATATTGTAAAAATTATGAATAGTAATAATCCTTATACAATTAGTTCAACTAAATTGATTGAAATAATACAAAAATATCATTCACACGTTTGAAATATTCGTTCGTGACATTTTGGGAGGTTCCCGATCTCTTAAAATGTGACAATTTACAGCATCAAACAATTTTCTGGGAATCCTTATGATAGACAGTGATATCTAAGATTTAATCTTTTCTTTAGATAATTTTACGATTGTTGACATTATTATTCACGATGTGTTTCTTGTATAATCTACAGAGAATGCTTTCGTCTTTGCATCAGTTTCAATTCAGGTAAATATTGTAATGCATTGGATTTTCAAAGTTTGTCAATGCATACATATGCGTTGCCAACATAAACCATACGGCGGCCCCTCGACGAATGGAACGAATATGTGTAGATATATACCTAATCCACGGAAACCTGTTCTTAATATCGCACAACCTCCCACGCACAATCGCAGACGTGCGTGAAACCCCAAAAAAACCATCCAAGTCAAAACAAAATTAAAGAGACGCAACTGTCACCGGAGATAACTTAATAGCCACTCTGCTTTTTTATTATCTCCAGCAAAACCTCATTTACATTTCATTTAAAATTTTCAGATAATCTAAACAATTTATCAGGCAAGACCGCGCTGCGCCCCACCATTTCTATGATTCGGTGACTGCGATCCGAGACCGACTCGTATTAGTGCTAAGTTGGCCGTGGAACGCAAAGCTTGATGCGCGATTGCTTGCTCGATGCGCGATTGTTAGCTCGATTTGTTGGAGGAGTATCGCGCGTGTTTCCCTGTGCATGTGACGTGATTTTCCCCGATGGATTTTTCACGGAAAAAGTGACTGGTTCGGGGCGGGTTGTGATTCTATCTGATTGGTCGGAATGAGACTGAATTGTGATGGTCGACGGCAATCGGGGTTGTGTTTGGTGAATTTGAGTTAGAGGACTGTCGTTTACATGGTTCTGGATTCTAGTATGTTTCTTGTAAGTTTGATGTTTTTTGCCTAGTGGAAAATTGTACAGGAAATTCAGAGTTCTCTTAGGAATTTCAATCCACAGAGATTTTGATCCCTGAAACATGAAATTTGCCATTTGAATTATTGTAGTTTTGAACAACCTAGAATCGAGTCGGGTTAAACTGACCGGTAACTGTACTTTAGATACTTACTATTGAATAAAATTACAATGAGAATGACAAGAGACAACTTTTAAAAAGTTTGTACTTCAATATAATTTTGAAAACCGGATCTCAAGTTGTTTCTGTAAAATATTCATTAGCATAATAAAACTTCAGGTATTTCTAAATTAACAGCAGACTTTCAAAAAACATGTGTAATGTGTAATTCGTTTTAGTTAGACCTACATTTCGGTCATTTTGATATTTGAGGTGTAATCATAACACCTAAAACATCAAAATGACCGTACTTATATGACAGACTGAACAACACATGCATTTATTTTCTGGTAAGAGAAATGTGATAGAACATGTTATTGATTTGAAAATAATGATCCATAAGATGATTTATAAGATTTATAAGATGATTTATATGAAATGTATCAAGTTGGAATAGCATTAGGTACTCAGAATCCTGAATCAGTTGGTCCTTGGAATATTCTTTTTAGAAAAATCATCGATTAAATCATCATCTGAAGGTATAATACAACATTTTACTTAGCTAATTTTCAGGAACAGTGTTAAAGTTCCATAGATTCAAAAAGTGTATTCATTCCAAGAGAGTTTTATACTATATTAACGGTTATATTGCAAAAAATAAGAGTCTATTTGTCAACCCTAATTGAATCAAAAATAATCTACATCGGTTTTTCTGTACCATTTGATGACAGAAACAGTTTTTGATATTATCCTTTCATACATTCTTCATCTTCATACATTATTTCGAAAAGATTATTACAACAAATTTGTCTACATAACATGTACAATATTCCATAAGAGTTCTAGAAAATTGTTTGTCAATCGGAGTGAAAACAATAATTCGAACAACATGCTGATCCTTAAAATATAAGTGATAGAAACAAATTTAAACCAATATTATGAAGGCACAAATTATCATTGTTTCATAAACTCAATACCTGACTTACTTGAAAAATTATTTCAGTCATGAAAGTGTTATTATCAGCAGTTACATGATTGCGGAAATTGCAATAACTTTAAGCCATGATATCAATAATTTGCTTTATAAGTCAATTATTTGGCGTGTGCGCCGGGAAGAGTCGTTATTTTGAGTCATTGCGACGGAAAACAGACATGATAAGGATTAAGTCGTTTACATTTCATGTTGATGATTATTGAAGAGATTTCCTCAAATTTTTCTGATTGTCACCATATTAGCATTCATAATAGCCTCATATACATCGTAAAAAATAATATGAAAACATTCTTATACCAAACTTTATCACAATTCGAATTATATGTAAGTATTTATAAATTATGGAAAACTTTATACTTATATCTACTCAGTTAATTTGACCTATACTGAAGTTATGAGAGAGACTTTTCCAATATATGAACGGGTTATCGAGGATAATGTATGTTTTAAAATAAAACTAAAACTATGAAAAAAAAAGATCGACATAACATTGAGTTTTACATAAAATACGTAACCTCGCTACAGAAATTGAAAATAATTAATACGGTAATTTTTTACGGTAATGTATTTCAAGTGATTCAAAATACACCCAAAAAGTGGTAGGTACTTCATTGGTTTTCTTATTTTGGGCTCGATTTCTAAGCGATTCCGTATTTCTATTTCTCTGCAAACACAATCATATTTATGAATATTTGTTCACTACTCAACTCTCGTTACGCACGGTTTCTTAGTTAACCATTTGATGCATTATCTGTAAAGCTGATTCTACAGTTTTCAAAACTAAAAACAATAACTTTGCACCCGAACCTTTCCCTCTATTTACATAATCAATTGTTTTTTGCAGAAAAGAATTTCAAAGTTACTCAGCAGTTTTGATGGAATCTGAAGAATCTATAAAACTTTCATATATTTCTACCATCAACTGTTTCAGACAAACATGAAAAACCTTTCAAATCAACTGTTGATGACAATCAACATAAAAAAATTGATTCGTAAATAAATATAGTCTGTTCACTCATATTGCCGCTCGTTTCTGCGGATTGAGAATAGCACAGATATCATTGAAACAAACTTTCTGAGAACATATACAAATGTAGGTAAATCAAAATGTCTTGGTAGGTACGCAGTCTTGATTGTTAACATAATTTATGATCATGACGAAAGTAATATTGATTTTTTGCAACGAGAAAAAGAGAAAGCCAAAGATAAATGAGTGTGTTGCAGTGAAATTATCGGCGATGTATTTCTCTCGTTTGACATTTGAAATTCGTTAAATTTTAATGTGGCACTGAATTTATGTTTCATTACTTGTGATTTGTGAAAACGTTTGGTATGAAACACAACATCATAGTTGAAGTTTTCACACATATTGTTAGGTTAGGTTATGTGTTCTGGAGAGTATTAATTTTTTTTGGGTATTATCATTTTTCACTAATCTTGATAGTTGGCTTGTTAATTATATTTCTTCAAAGGCATTCAGATGGAAAAATGAATAGTTGTTTTTGATCAAGAGTGATGAGTTTTTACGTTTCACAAAAATCTGTTACAAATGAATAATTTCTACGCCAATCCTATCCAAAGAGAAACATTTTCAAACGATTCGATTCTAATTGAACACTGGACCGGATTTTTTTACCCAAAATGTCAACGTTTCCCTTAAAAATGAGTTGTTTGTGTTATTCGTCAATTTTGTTGTGAGTGAATTTAAATAACTTGCATATTGTATGAGTAATTCAGATTTGTTCAACATGTATTAAACAATCATACAAAAAGCACAGGCTGATATGTTCATCAGCATCTACTACAATTGTTGGCAATATAATAAATTATAAAAAGGTGTGCCTGCCTAAATGTCAAAAAAGTTCACATTTGTGATGTTTCAAGTAAATTAAATTGAATAAATCCTAAATACCTATTCTCTCACAATTACCAATATACTAGAAAATACATTTGATCTTTTGAAGTAATGAACATAAAATTAGTAACGACAATCAAAAATTATATAACATTTTGGAAATATAAAGTTTCGTCATCAGTAAAACAATTCTATTAAATAAATGATTTTTCTAACAATATTTATTAAGAAAATTCAAATCAAACATTTTTTGTATTTGCATTTTGATGATTTGATATGCTCATCACTATTCAGAATATTAGTAACTGATAAATAATTGTCTCAGTAATGGAAGGATGTTTACAATCATATAAATTATATCAGTTGAACTGAGATTTTATGTTCCAAATAATTACAAATAATATTTTACTGACAGAAAATCATCTCTTCAAAACATTACTTTTGGAAATATTGATTTTCATTTGTCTTTAAATTAGGCAATATTGTTATATCTGTCGTATTAAAATTCATTCAGAAATAATCATTTATAATTGTTCGAAACTAGCGTGATCCTATACTTACTAGCGTTCAAAACACTTTCTTTTTATTTTTCGAGGTACTGAAAAAGTCTTAAGTAAAGCAGTATAATGGATATTGATGGTGAGTTTTCTCTAAGGCTGAAAGTAGCGACAACTGTTTAAAAAATCTGTTTCAAATCTGTTTTTCCGTTAACCAGCTGTCGCACCCCTATGAACCACAACCGAGCTAAGGATTAACGAGGTCTTACCTTTTAACGTGTGATACCTAACACAGGTTGGACGATAGCAAGTGAAAATCGATCGTTCAGCCTGGGGCTTGAACCACCGACCAACACGGCAGTCAATTCTAGTGAGTGAACAAAGCACACACGCCGAACCGATCGAAACTAATTGAGGAGTTTTGGTTTCTCTTTTAGTAATGATAGAATCATCAATTCCATCTGAAGGATGAATTTATCGAAGAGAGGGATAGCAATAAATATTAGTTATTTATTTCAGTACCAATCAAGTACACCTTTTCAGCTAACAGTATTTTTTATGTAGAAATCATTCACATGTAGATTGAAATATTCCTTACAAAAAGTTCCTCGCTTGTAACTCACCTCACGATAATGAATATATTCGGTTGTACTCGTAATGTAAGTTGAACTTCGTTATGACCGGGTTGTATGTCAATAACTTTATCTGTCTACAGTCAACTCAAAAACTACCAAACAAGCTTTGATACTATCATCAGGTAGGAGTAATTCAACAGGATGGTTTTTGATTGTATTTTGTTTTTTTTTGTAAATTGGTTGGTAGATGACGACGTTTTTGTGAGAAGTCGGGGCTAACCTGCCAGCTACGAAGAGGAAAAAAAAAGTTTATTCGTTAACCATCTGTGGCTCCGCTACGAACCAAAACTCTCAAAAGTCAAAACTTGTGCTAGCTAAGTACTAACGAGGTTTACCTTTTAACGTGTGATTCCTAAATGCTACCTATTTCCTTTCCGAAATAACGAAACAATTTAACGCAACTTGTTCTTCTTTCGTACTGCACCTATTTTAATGTTCAAAATGATGTTCACACATAATGAAAGATATTTGGAAGAATATGATATTGATCTATATCAAATGAATACTTTACTTACTTTCAGTATTTCATATACATTAAAATTGACTCCTATACCATACAAATCAAATCACTATTAAATCAATATCAAAATTGAAACTATCGCGCGAGAAAATCATTTTAAACGGCCTGACAAACTTATGCTACAAGCGAGATGAAGAAAATTTATATTCTTCTTCTCTTTTTTTATGGTCTATGCTTCCCTTTGGCGCCGCAATTGCATTCGTTTTGTTTTACTCAGTGAATCATTTCAAAGGTTAAGGTCCCATTTTTTCAAAGTGAAATACGCATATAAGTAACATTTTCGTTTTCAGTTATATTGATCTGAAATCTGTTTTCTATACAAACAGACATATTTGTGTTGTGATATTTATTTCCTGCTTCTGTTTGCAA